CCACGAAGGAGCACCGCACAAAAAGAGCGTGAAAACTATCCAAAAAATAGCGACACCGTGAAATCGAACCCGCAACCAACAAATCCAACAGTGTTTGGCTAACCATTAGGACGTGCGGTTGCAAGTGATTACATGAGGCGCTAAGTCTTTAAAACCTATTATAGCCGATGTTACATGTTTTCTTTTAAAAAACAAACGGTTCACAGATTTCTGAAAATGTTCCTGAACATGCAAAATACTTTGCCCGATTCAAGAAAAGTTCAATGATTATGAAAAAAGGTCATCAATAATAAAAATGGTTCAAAAAAATGAAAAATGCTTATCAAAAATGAAAAAAGTTCACCAATTTCAAAATAATTCACAAAACTGGAAAAAGTTCATAAACTTCGAAAAAAAAGTTGATCGAATTTAAAAAAATCATTGAATTTTTAAAAAGTCCATCGATTTTGAAAAAAGTTCATAAAACTTGAAGAAAGTTCATCGAATCTGAAAATAAAAGTTCATTGAATTAAAAAAAGTTGATCGATTTTTACAAATAGTTCACTAGAAATAAAAAGTTCATTGATTTTGAAAAAAGTTCACACAAAAATAAAAAATGTTCATCGATTTGGAAAAAAACGTTCATTGCATTTAAAATAGTTCATCTAATTTGAACAAAGTTCATCAAATTCAAAATAAGTTCATTGATTTTAAAAAAGTTCATTGAATTCGAAAAAAGTTCATTGATCTAATAAAAATTGAAAAAAGGTTTATCAAATTTGAAAACAGTTTATAAAATTTGAAAAAATTATTAATTTTGATTTTTTTATCAAATTTGAGACAAGTTCGTCGTTTTGGAAAATAGTTGATAGATTTGTTGAAAAAATCATTGAATATGCAAAATAAAAAGAGACAGGGAGAAACGAAAAAACACAGAAAGAAAAACATAAATGAGAAAGCAAAGCATAAAAAGAAAACATAAAAAACGGAAGAAAACCGGGTAAAATAAAATCCCTGGAACCCAGCCCAGAATACCAGGTGAAAAAAACCAGAGTGGGACTCTCACGCACTCTAAGAAAAAGATGAAAAAGAAAAAGCTTAGCCCATGTCGCCTGTTAGCCAAGACTAGTAAGTCTGCACGTGCAACGCACGTTATAATCTTAGCAAGAAAATTTCTCATTACCATCTTAATATATATGATTTCTGATCTTCCTTATATACTTCCAATTTTGAACAAATGATGGGCAGGAATTATGTTTCAAAAACAGTTTGTAACACAAGACAATACAATGTGATAATCACACAGTCGTAAGGGGTGAAGAATGATTACCAGTATATCTACATCTCAGGACTAATAAGAAACAACGAAAATGTAGTCAAGATGGTCAACAAGCTAACCTTCTTATAAAAAATAATACTGTAATAGGCAGGTCCGTGAGGAAGAATGTCAAAAAAACTGCTAAAAAGAATTCTGAGCCTAAATAGTACATGAACATATGCCCAAAATGTAATTCACCTCTTTGCATATGCCCTTGTGCTCATTCTCACTGAAAATTTAAAAGGAAAAAGTGAAATAGTACTTAGTGTCGCAGCAGGTGTCCAGACTCCAGAGAATACCAATCTCCTAGATTTGTATCAGTATGTGAGGCAATAATAAGGCGGAAGGGAACCTGCTCCAAATGAAAGAAAAAGTTGGACCTAATTATCATTAATAGCTGGAAAAAAATCTACTGAAACCAGTAGTGTTTCAAGCATAGTATAAAGAAAATTTATATGAAGACCTTAAATAGAAAAAACAAACTGGTGTTATATTGGCATCTCTCAACTGAATAAACATTTAAGAACTATATTATTTATCAGTTCAACTGCAAAATAACAGAATTAAACACAATACCATACTCTTTTGTATCCGGGCAAAAATATTCGTAATCAAGATACTCTAGTCCCTTATGGTACTCCAAATGAAAGAAAAAGTTGGACCTAATTATCATGAATAGCTGAAAAAATTCTACTGAAACCAGTACTGTTTCAAGCATAGTATGAAGAAAAATTATATAAAGAACTTAAATAGAAAAAACAAACTGGTATTATATTGGCATCTCAACTGAATAAACATTTAACAACTATATTATTTTTCAGTTCAACTACAAAATAACACAATCAGGCACAATACCAACATACTCTTTTTTATCCGGGCAAGAATATTTGTAATCAAGATGTTGTAGTCCCTTCTTGGTAGCACAACTGCAGTCTTGTTTTATTTAGATCAATGTTATTACTCTTTTGTATGTGAGAGTTCTGGCCCAAATCTGCCAAATTGGGCAACAAACAAACCCAGACAACGATGCAATATTGGCTATTGGAATCGAACAAACAATCCACACAAAGGTCTTGGTACATGGAGAGCATACCTGTGCTATCCCTCCAAGACATCTCTGTACACAATATTCTTGGTGCTTTTACCAGTTTGATCTATTTCTTTATTTGGCTTTGCCAGAACCCGAGTTGTCTGCCTTGAAACACACCTTGACAGTGCAACATAAAGCTGGCCGTGCGAGAATACAGGCTCCGGAAGGTAAATGCCAATAGTTGGGATGGTTTGCCCCTGGGCTTTGTTTATGGTCATTGCAAAACTCAGACGAATAGGGAATTGCTTCCTCTTCAACTTGAAAGGAAGTGAAATATCCTCCGAGGGTACCATCGGGATCCTAGGGATGAACACTCTCTTTCCAGCATGTTGTCCACCAACAATCTCGGCGTCAATTGCGTTATTTTGGAAAGCTCTAATCATCAATCTCGTTCCATTGCAAAGTCCGTTATTAGGATCGAGATTTCGGAGCAGAATGACAGGGCAATTGACTTTAACTTTTAAAATATGTGGAGGCAAGCCATTGGGAGTGAGGTTGTTCAGATAGTCAATTGGATAGTTATTGCGTGTATCATCATCGACGGAATCAAAGCTATAGTATACCTTTTCTTGGCCGGGAAATCTGTCAATCATCTTTGCATTTAGGTCGTCCACGTGCTCATTCTTGGTAGAAAGAATAGCACGTGTGCTCATGTAGGCACCGGATGATGCGTTCTCATGAAGAGATGGGAACACGTGTTCAATAAGCTTCATGACTGGTGCGTCACCAGGTGTGTAACCTATCACAATGTCATCAGGCAAACGCACATAATCATCACCGATCGTCTCCTCCGTTCCATTGCCAATTCTCAAGAGGTATTCGGAGAACCACGGGTCAGTCTGTGCTCTCATATTCCGCGTGAGGCGTATTTGTCTAATTTTCTCCCATAGATATGATCTTTGGAGCGTGGCGTCAGTGATTTGTGCTCTTGTTCCACGCGGGACCACGGGAAGGACCTGCCTAAAATCCCCTCCAAACACCACAACCTTTCCCCCAAATGGCATAACACATCCCATGATATCCTGTAGTGACCTATCCAGTGCCTCTACTGCTTGACGCTTCGTCATGGCAACCTCATCCCAGATTATGAGAGATGCTCTCCGAAGCAACTCTGCAGTACCACTCTGCTTGGTGAAGCTGCAGATGCTATCATCCATGAGCTTAATCGGAATTTTGAACCTAGAGTGGGCGGTACGTCCACCGGGCATGATTGATGCGGCTATTCCAGATGTCGCAGTTGCAATAGCTATTTTCCCCAATGAACGCACTTTAGCAAGAAGCGCCTTGTAGAGATAAGTCTTCCCCGTGCCACCAGGACCATCAACAAAGAAAACATGTTTCCTATTGTTCACCACGTGATCCAAGATTTCCTCAAACCCGGTCCTTTGCTCAATGTTCAGGTTGTACTCCGCTCTCTTCTCATCGGTTGTACGCCGCTCAATGCTCATAGATTTCCTCAAACTCGGGCCATACGCCGCTTCTGGTTGTACTCCGCTCTCTTCTCATCGGACATTCGTGCATACCAATTTTTACCACTTTTTGGGTTTTCAACATCTTGATTTACAACTGAGTTGGTTATGTTGCTCAAAGGGGTTCGTGGCACATGCAGTGACGAAGAAGAATCTGCTTGACTTGCAGTCTCCTGAGTAGGTGTATTTGTCGGATCTTTACATGGGGAACGATCCCCTGATTGTAACGCATGCGGACAATGATTCCTCATCTGTGGCATGAATGGGAAACATCGTACATCATTAGAAATATTCATGCAATATTGAGAAGCTCAATTCTTAAATGTTGCAAACAAAGTAAGCAGAATCTCAAGTAAAAATGAATATGTGACGAAAAGGATCTGTGGCTTGAATGGGAAACATCGTACATCATTGAAATATTCATGCAATATTGAGAAGCTCAATTCTTAAATGTTGCAAACAAAGTAAGCAGAATCTCAAGTACATATGAATATGTGACAAAAAGGACCTTAGATGCTGCAGATGCTGATGAGTGGCAATATTCTGTACCTGTAGAAATATGTGGCAAAAAGGACCTTAGAATCTTGAAACATATTAGTTTGCACAAATGTCAGAAAAAAAAGAACTAAAATTGAAGAAAGCGACTGGTTAAGAGTAGAGGCTTCAGAAGATGTTGCGGAGGTGTGGAAGAAGGTAATACTCAAAAATAGAATTTTTTAGGTCAAATCAAGTTGCATATCTAACTGGAGATGAAAGGTTTAATGTCACGAGTGTACCACGCAGAGCGCATCTATTTTTGCAAGCCGAGAGGCTGCAGGGTGCCTTATATGCATTCAATAGAAGGACTATGTAGATGCATCATTTTTCACGTCCTATATTCACCATCTGCCTCCCCTCAACCCATCCCGGTAAGCCCCACCTTCGCCTCACGGTGCGCAAACCTTCATGATCTACCATTCATTTGAAAATAGATCTACTTTTCATGTCAAAATTTAATGCTTGCTCACAGCCCATGACTTAATCTCTTGAAACAACAAAACACGCGTTTCTCAATGAGGAAAAGATTGCTGCCAAAGTGGACTACTTGAAGAATACGTTCAGGTGGTCTGATGCCGAAGTGAGCATTGCTGTCTGTAAGGCGCCGATGGTTCTGAGGAAGTCAAAGGAATCTCTGAAGCGCAGGTCCGAGTTCCTGTTCTCTGAGGTGGGATTGGAACCTGTGTACATTGCTCATCGACCGGTGATTCTCAGTCTTAGCCTAGAGAGGCGGGTCAGGCCCCGGTACTATGTTATCAAGTTCCTCAAGAAAAATGGACTGCTAGATCGTGACTTGAGCTTAGATTCTGCGGTCAAGATGACTGACAAGGTATTTGTGGAGAAGCTCATATGCCCTCACAAGGAAGCCGCGCCACACCTTGCTGAAGATTATGCAGCAGCTTGCAAAGGTGAAGTGCCAACTAATTTCAGATTTACATGAACAAGAAATGGCTATGGAAAATAGTTACAGTGTATGGCGCAACAAAGTTATCACCCTTCCGTGTAAGCTGTTACTTGTTTTGGTGTTCTTTGCCTAAGATGATGTTGATTGTTTTCTGTAGTATGCCAGTTGGTCATTGCTAAATGCTAACTCCCTGTGAAACTGATTATTTGATTCCTGAACCTCCATATGTTGATGTTATCACTGTAAATGATAAGTTTATCAATATATATGTGATTCCAACTTCCATTGGAGATCACGCAACTTGATGTGTGTATGGACCAATTTGGTCTTGAAACCAGCACCCATGAAAGCAGAAAGTAAAAGAGTAATGCTGTGTAATTTTCCACCGAAATGTATAAGTATGATCTGCTTTCATGCCAAAATTTATCTATCATGCATGTTCAGTTTCCATTTCCTTGTTTTTCAGGTTCCATCATATGTCAATTAGTACTAACTTTGTTTAATATTCAGGTTAGACTAAGAAATAAATTTCTCATTTGCCTTTTGATATCTTTACCCCTTTTCAAAGGATTTTTTTGTCTATTCAGCAAAAAACCCGGAAGTTCAGTTGGTTAAATAGATCCATGGTCCGCCTACCTTGAAATTGATGTACCAGGAGCCTAGCAGGATGCCAGTAGATGTTTGGTTTTGGTGCACCACCAAAACAAGCTTGCTGATGGGATGGAAAGGCTAAGGTAATGAACTATCAACTGTACACGTGAGGTAGAAGGCTACGCCTACTGTACTGCCAGCTAAAATACGCCTATTCCGTGAAAAAGAAAAATGTAATGCCTAAGATGCACTGTCCTGAACCAGCTAAAATACGCTTATTGATAACTTCAAAATGATAGCTATACTGTTCTGAATTTTTAGGATATCAGCAGTTGTTTGTATCTTTGAGTGTCTAATTCCAAGTTGAAATCGAGATTGTTAACTACTGATAAGCTGAAGGTAGTACTAATCGCCATCTTTATCTCCGTTTGACAAACAGAGATGAACTCCTTTCAATTTCGGGTTAGTTGAGTTGGGAGCTGTGTTCCAGTTAATCAGTTATATATGATTACCTCCTGAAACCCGGATTTCAGTTTCTGAATCCCTGTGTTCCACTGGCGGTGACCATCAGGCCTCACCAGCATAATTTTGCACATGATCAATGGTGTTTTTTGTTCTGATAGGGGAGTAGTAGTAGGAATCGTGGCAATGGACCTTTTGGCTGCAAATCTGTTTGGTGCTCTGGCATTATGACCTAGAGGTGCTCCACTTGTAACAATCCAGAATTTTACTGAAATTATTGGTAGTTTGATGCTGTGTGCTCCATGCATTGGTGTTCTGATCTCTATCTATGATTTTCCATGTGGAAGAAGCTACAGTATGTAGATTTCAGAACTACTTGCAACCAGAAATACCATGTGTTTGAATACTGTATGTTTAATGTTCGATGATAGATGCGATGTTGTGCTGAGATGTATCCAGTAATAGCATTCTTTACAGATTAACATGCCGATGCATTCTTTACAACAAAGAAGCATTTTTATTCCGTGACTCTGAATTTATGCATAAACGCAGTTTGAAGGCGAAACTGAATCCAATGGTGGACAGCGGGTGGCTTACCTGATGTGCTGGTCGACGAACGGGGCGGCTCTGGCGGGACGGGGACGGGCTCCCGTGGCGGGGAGGCGAACGGCGCGGCGCGGCGCGGCCTGCAGGAGGAGGAGGAGGAGGTCGCAGGAGGAGGACGCGGCCTGCAGGAGGAGGACGGGCTCCCGTCCCGGCGGGGAGGCGAACGGCGCGGCCTGCAGGAGGACGGGCTCCCGTCCCGGCGGGGAGGCGAACGGCGCGGCGCCCGGCGGGAGGAGGACGGCGCGGCGCCCGGCGGGGAGGCGAACGGGGCGCGGCGCCCGGCGGGGAGGCAAACGGGGCGCGGCGCCCGGCGGGGAGGCGAACGGCGCGCGGCGCGGTCTTCAGGAGGAGGAGGAGGAGGTCGTGCGGCGGGGCGGTTTTTGTTTTTTGTCTGCGGAGCGATTTTTAGTGCGGGGCGATTAGCGATCGATTTGGCTTGTTGCGTGGTTGGTAGCGTTAAACACAGAATTATTAAAGACCATTAGATCTTGATGATCTATGGGTGAGATTGTTTGGATCTGCCCTTCTCTTTCTTTTATAGTGGTAGTAGATGGTTAGTACCATTCGCTCTGCACGAAGGTGTTCTGAGTTCGAATCCCCGCGCTGTCCCTATTTTTGAGTCCTTAACAGAGAAGGAGAAAATAAATGGGTCGGCCCAGTTAATGCGGCTGCAGGCGCCGGTTTTTTTTTAAAACGAATGCAAAAGATTTGCCTCATCTATTAAATAAGAGAGAGTATATTAGAGTTTTACAGCGACCACCTTAAACACGGCATGCGAACTATTCACGAAATACAATAGGCTCTAGTTTCTTTGCACTAGTTGTAACCCAAAGCTTGGCCTCCTCAAGGATTGTGTTAAGAAGAATAGTCGGCGGAGCATTTTTGTGTCGGAACACCCTAGCATTACGTTCATTCCAGATGGTTCAGGAGACGAGGAGGGTGAGGCAGGCCAAGGCAGTCCCGTTGGGGACGTGGCTCCCAGTACCATCTTCCCACCAATCCAGGACGGAGTCATGAACATGCCATCCGGAGGTGTCAATATGATGAAGGCCAAGCTTGGCCGTGAGAGACCTCCAAAGCCGAAAGTGAAGCGGCACTTGAAGAGAAGGTGAGCACCCGTTTCCTGCTCCCTAGAGCAAAGAGGGCACAGACCGCAGTTGGCCCACCCGCGCCTCTCCAGGCGGTCCACAGCCCAGATCCTATCTTGAATAGCCAACCAAGCAAAGAATTTGATCTTCGGAGAAGCCCAAACTTTTCAAACCATGCGATCCATTAGGGACAAGGTTAACCCAAGAAATTAAACTTTATAAGCACTGGCTGCCGAGTACATCCCATCATTGGAATGCTTCCAAGTGATGTCGTCCTCCCAATCCTCATCAAGATGGATGCCGGTTAGGAAAAGTTGCCTTTTACCGGCGCCTGCATCACCAAATAGGGGTTTGCCATCGACTCGTATCCGTTCACACTTCATGACAATGCGCACGTTGAAAAAGAGGCGCATCTGGCCTCAAAAGAGCATGCGACCACGGGCCGGGCCCAGCGCACGACTGCACTCGCACATCTAGCCAACCTAGCGTGTTTCTTTTCATTATTTTGCTTCTGTTTTTTCACATTTGTTTTTCATCCTTTTTTCACATTTTTATATAATTTAAATATTCTAAAAGTTTTATTTCCAAAATTACTTTGCATATTTTTTTGAAAAAATGTTAATCATGCATTTGAACAAGTGTTAAACGTGTATAAAAATGTTTCTAATGTATAAGAAAAATGTAGATCTGTACGAGAAAAGCAGGCATCCAAACTTATATATGAGAAAAGTTAATCATGTATATAAAAAATGTTAAAACTGTATAAAAAATATTTCAGATATATACAAAAAATATACAATGTCTATGAAAACAATAGACATCAAAAACATATATGTGAAAAAAATGTGAATCATGTTTTTTAAATATATTAAACATGTATTAAATCTATTGTTGACATATATGAAAAATGTATGATGTGTATGAAAAAACATCAAAATATTTTTTTATGTATATGAAAAATGTTAAACCTATATTAACAAACGTTTTAGCTGTATGGAGGGAGTACATGATTTTTAAAAATAATCTAAAACATGTGTTAAACTAATGAGCAATTTTTTATATTAGTCAAGTTTGTAAAGTTCATGAACACTATTTTAAAATTCCTGAATAATTCTACATGGGATTTTATATATAAATTTACAAACATTTAAAAATAGTGATTTTTAAAAACTTTCTAAACATTTTTTGAAGTCATGAGAATGTTTTTATGCTTTTGAACAATTTTTAATTCCTGAAAGTTTAAGTTGCAACACCCCTATATATAGACGAGGAGCCGAGGTAGTCAGGACCTTTATTGTATAAGGGTATATCCCGTTGTTTTCCATGGACAAACGGATCTTCACGCACGAAACTTGTCTACTCAAGACTCAACATCACTCACTCGCAAAAGAAAAAGACTCAACATCACTTGCTTTATGTGAGATAAAAGGTATCTTACAATACTCTTGCCAAGACTCTTGTGCCATTATGGCCCTAGCTTGATAATGGCGAGCTGGGGGGCTCTTTCCAGCATGCTACACACCTGCATCCTCCGGGAACACACTCAGCATTCTTGCCACCATTGTTTCTACACCATGTCGTGCAATTGGCGCGATCGCACGGCAACGGGCCCGTTCCAATCTCAGGGCCGCAATGCACTTCCCCCTCAATGGTTGCCATGTCTATGGACACCGAAAGAAAAAAAAAGGTTAGGATAGAGTAATTGCCGCATGTAATATGTATAGTATTATGCTCACATATTAATCTTACCCGATGATAGCACCATGAGGGCAAGACCCAAGAGCAGAATTTGTGTAGTCCTCATTTCTTTTATTCTTACAACACTTGGGAGTTTGGACTATATGTTGCTCTACGAATTCATATGTGTTTGGGTCATGCAAATGGAGTCTTTTATAGAGGATGTGTACCATTAAAACATACACGATGATAAGGACACATTAATTAGTTGTACCAAACTTGGAACAAATACATTAATCGCATTTAGATAAGAGCAGGCTTGTGCTAATTAATCTTGAATGTCCATTTAGGAATGCCAAAATTAGATTCAAAGTGCATGATTGGTGAGCACTCTATGTACGTCAAGTTATGGTTCTTTTTGTGAGGAGGGTTTATGTCACAAATACTTATCCCTTGCAAGTATATGTTAATGCTCTTTTTTACCTCTATATTAAAGCTCTTTAATAGTACCTAAGATATATTCCAATGGAAGACTCTAAATTTCAGTAATATGTTGTAGATGGATCTTTGAGGCTTAGATTTAGACTAGGACACAACTCTAAAACATTTAAGGGGTGTGTCACGGGGTGCTCCATATAACTACTGCAAGTAAGCTAACGAGTGACAGGCAAAACACGCAACCAGCGAAGGCCCCGTCACTTATACAACGCCAGTTCTACAAAAATATACCAGTGAAGGATATAAGAAAGCCCGTCAACCCACCACACATCCCATCGGTCAACTTTGTTTAGTGTGCAAATTAAACAAAAAGTTTTCTCATAGTGCATAATTAAAATATTGTCTTTATCGCCGAAGGATATTACGGTGACCTCATTGGCCTTGCCCTTCGTCATGGTATTGGTAGACTTAGCGACAGTGACTATGGTGTCCAACTGGACGAAGAGCTCATGCATCCAATTCCCCTTTGCTGCGTAGGCGTCCCTTGTCGTATCTTCGACATCTGCTGGTGCATTCAACCCCTATAAAAAGCATGAAAATTGGAATTATCTTAGAATCTGGGCCAAAAGTTCAAGGCACAAACTATTTTGACACCCATCAAAAGCACCAAAATTTCACAAACTGGTTGATACCTCGCATGTTGCTGACGGAATTGCTTACAATATATTTCAATTTAATTTCATTCTATGATAGATGAATATTGCCATT